ATCAACATATACTAGAACAAAAATTACCTGCCTTTGATTCATGTGAAAGAATAGGGAGCAGGCTGCCTTTGATTTTACGAATTTCCATTTCAGAAGTGTTTCCTTGAGCTTGTCATACCAGGCCCTGGGTGCTTGTTTCAACCCATAGAGAGCCTTTTCAAGTTTGCACACAAAGTTAGGACTAGCTTCATTAATAAACCCTTCAGGTTGGCACATGTATACCTCTTCATTCAGCATGTCATTCAAAAAGGCATTGTTGATATCTACCTGCCTGATGCTCCAATCTCTCAAGACTACAAGTGTAAGGATGATTCGTAGAGTAGAAGCTTTGATCACAGGGCTAAAAGTTTCGTGAAAGTCAATTCCCGAAGTTTGAAGGAACCCCTTTGCAACTAGTCTTGATTTGTGTTTTATCACTTTTCCCTCAACGTCTCTTTTGATTCTGAATACCCATTTGTTTGTTATGACTTTATGATTTAGAGGTGGTGGCACCAGCTTCCAAGTTTTGTTCTTCATGAGGGCTCTATATTCATCTGTCATTGCTTTTCTCCAGTCTTTACTCGCTAACGCTTGATTTACATCATCAGGTTCAAGATCACTTTCAATGTTCTGCAGTGAGTTGAGTAAACATTTGGCTTGAAAATACCTGCCTTACTTTTGGTAACCATAGGGTGTTGTCTAACTAACTCTGCTGCATTTTGTTCTTCATTAACATCTGCAGTTGTGTCTGGAATTTCAAATTGAACATGCCCTTCTCTTATCATATCACTTTCATGATAATCTTGTATTTCATTTTCATTTGCTCTTTGAGTTTCATTCTCAGACATTTCAGGTTGATGAAGTTGAAGAGGCCTGTCTATTGGGGAAGCATCAGGATGGACTATATCAGTTGAGTGTGTTGGATTAGTGGCTTGATAGGTATAAGGTAGATACTGAATAATGATGTCTTTAGTTTGCAGGTCACTCTTTTTATCAAGAAAACCAGACTTGAAGGGAAAATCATTTTCATTGAAGATCACATGTCTTGAAATGTAGATCTTTCCAGTAGGACTAAGGCATTTGTAGCCTTTATGGGAGTTAGTGAAACCAAGGAATACACATTTTATGGAATGGAAATTGAACTTGTGATCTTGATAGGGCCTAAGGTAGGGGAAACAAGCACATCCAAAAGCTTTAAGGCACTTGTAGTCAGCCTGCTGATGATTTGGAATTTTAAAAGGTGATGTTTTATTGAGAACAGGTGAAGGTAGTCGATTGATAAGATAAGTGGCCGTGTGAAAAACTTCCCACCAGTAGTGTAAGGGCAAGCCAGAATAAGCCAGAAGTGTGAGGCCAGTCTCTGTAATATGCCTGTGTTTTCTTTCATCTCTGCCGTTTTGAGCTGAGGTATGAGGGCAGGAAACTTTCATTTCAATCCCAGACTGTAAGGCTAAGTTAGTGAAAGCTCTAAACTTACCTCCCCAGTCAGACTGAAGTGCCTTTATTTTCCTTTCAAGCTTGTTTTCAACTAGACTTTTAAACTGAGTAAATTGAGTTAAGGCTTCAGACTTGGTTTTCATGGGATAGATCCAGGTATATCTGGTGTGGTCATCAATGAAGATTATGTAGTACCTGAATCCTGAAGTAGATTGAGTAGATGCAGGCCCCCACACATCTGTGTGAATAAGATCAAGAGGAGCTAATGCACGAGAGTTCGAAAGTTTGAAAGGCAAAGCATGAGATTTCCCAAGCTGACAGGCATCA